GTGTCGTTAGCTCGTCTCTTTAGCTCGTGTCGTTAGCTCGTCTCTTTAGCTCGTGTCGTTAGCTCGTCTCTTTAGCTCGTCTCTTTAGCTCGTCTCTTTAGCTCGTGTCGTTGGCTCGTGTCGTTGGCTCGTGTCGTTGGCTCGTGTCGTTGGCTCGTGTCGTTAGCTCGTCTCTTTAGCTCGTGTCGTTAGCTCATGTCGTTAGCTCGTCTCTTTAGCTCGTCTCTTTAGCTCGTCTCTATAGCTCGTCTCTATAGCTCGTCTCTTTAGCTCGTGTCGTTAGCTCATGTCGTTAGCTCGTCTCTTTAGCTCGTGTCGTTAGCTCGTCTCGTTGGCTCGTGTCGTTGGCTCGTGTCGTTAGCTCGTGTCGTTAGCTCGTCTCTTTAGCTCGTCTCTTTAGCTCGTCTCTTTAGCTCGTGTCGTTAGCTCGTCTCTTTAGCTCGTCTCTTTAGCTCGTCTCTTTAGCTCGTGTCGTTAGCTTGTCTCTTTAGCTCGTGTCGTTAGCTCATCTCTTTAGCTCGTCTCTTTAGCTCGTGTCGTTAGCTCGTCTCGTTAGCTCGTCTCTTTAGCTCGTCTCTTTAGCTCGTCTCTTTAGCTCGTGTCGTTAGCTCATGTCGTTAGCTCGTCTCTTTAGCTCGTCTCTTTAGCTCGTCTCTTTAGCTCGTCTCTTTAGATCAGCTGGTTTCTTCTGCAGGACTTGCTGGTGGTTGCGTCATGGCAGCAGTTTTTCAGCAGCTGTCAGCTGGAGACGAGCTGAGCTCCAGGTCCAGATGAAGACGACTCGGTGGATTCATGTCTGAGTCGAGTTGTTTGTTTCTGTTTTTTTCTTTTTGTTCCATTTCTGGAACAAACAGTTTGTGTCGAGGAGAAGTTGAAACAAAAACCCACAGCTACTCCACTTGAAAGCCGTTCGCAGGCAGCAGCGGCAGCATCCGTTACCATGGATACGCCTGTTTCTTCCACACTCGTAGTAAACGTTATGAAGGCTGTTTTTGAAGTTTCACAGATTCATGTGCTGACACACACACACACACACACACACACACACACACACACACACACAGAGCGACGGAGCGCCTCCTGAGTTAAAGTCGATGTTTTAAAAAGACGACGAGCTGCAGCGGAGCCCTCTCAGGTCAACATGGACGCCGGCCGGACGGCGGTCCAGATTCTGCGGTTCTGTCGGGAAGATGAGGTCCTGTGAAGCAGATCAAAGAGAATATTTCAGGCTCTGAAGGTTTGAGGTGATGAAGCAGCAGCCAGCTGTGGCACTTCCTCTGTGTGATGCTCACATTATTACRGAAGATAAACAAATTAAATCCACTTCCTGTCTTCATTCTGTTGGTTTTATTTTCTATTAAACACCAGTTTGACTCTGAAGATTAGCATTAGCGTTAGCATTGTGGTGCAGTCTGACAYGTCACTCCTTATATGGTAAAGGTGCACAGGTCTCATAAAGGCCAGGTGAAGATCTGACATGAAAACATTTATAAATGATCACTTCCTGTCAGGTGTTTCTGTGGTCGTCTGATAAAAACTGAGCAGATTTGCAGTTAATCATGTGAGTAACCTGATGAATGTAAATAATCTGCGTTAATCTGCCGTTTAACCCACTTCCTGTGCTCTCTCCCCTCCTCTCGTCGCCTGTAATAATGTTTACTGAGCAATAATTGGATTGAAGGATGTGTGTGTTCAGACACACATCAGGAGCAGGTACAGCTCACCTGAGTTA